GTATCTTAAATTGAGTTACAGAGATTAGAAGTCTATTTACCTCTTCGGTATCAGGCAAATGATATCAGTACAATCTTACAAATGTGGTTCATGGGGAAAACAAAACAAAACATAAATATGCCTCACCACAAGGAGTTAGATTATAAGATGAGAGTATTCTGCGAGACTGCCACAGACTGGCATAATTTGACTGGCCATTGTAGTATACATAGGATGATAGGGCGACTCTGTTTATATGCCTGTGGCCAAATGTTTCATCATGAAGCAGGGTATTTTGTTGATGAAGTGGAAATTGTACTTGTCAGTGACAAACATATATGTCATATATGGATTGGGATTATATTGTATATATAAAATTATCGTCCTAACACCAACTAACACATGTTGACCCTGCCGGGCCTAGACCTGCGTTTTTATAACTGCCTCGTGAGAGGAAAGTCGCGCAATATAGCTAGTATGTTGGTAAACTAAATGCGGGTAACGAAAAGCCGAACAGTTCATGGGATGTACTCGAATTGCGCACGTAATATGGCTCCAGAAACGTTCTACCATGGACGAACATTGGTAGGTTTATGCTGTTCGTGGCAACTTCAGTGTATGACATAACGCGCTTAAGTATAATGACAATATGAAACGCACTCACCGGTTTAAAAAGTGGATCAAATGTGGATAGAAAACAGCCTTTTTCCAGGTTCTGAACGTCGGGACTTGGAAGCTTCGATTTATCCGAGAAAATGTACCACGGGCATTTTCGTGTACGGAAAATTTTCCTTCTATGTTGTCTCGAAGACCGTTGAAACCAGAGTGAACTGAGATAAAATTTGGCTAGCTTTTGCTGCATATAACTGAAGAATGTCGGCCTAGCAAAATGGGATTATATTGGCAATTTGGCATTGACACATGGCAGGTGTTGCCCGGAGAGCAAGGCGGTTGTTTTCTTTGCTTATCGTTTCCGTTTAGTTTTCGGTATGGATGTTGCCTCTTATTAATCCTAATTTATTTTTTAAAATAAATTGCTCATATATATATATATATATATATATATATATATATATATATATATATATATATATATATATATATATATATATATATATATATATATATATATATATATATATATATATCTGTACATACATCGCTATACATATACACATTGCTCAGAAGAAGGCTAGCAGTTTGCAGCCGAAAATTTAGAAAAAATTTTAACATTAGAATATTTTTAATTAGATCACTTACAAAACTCAAATTTACTATGAGGTTATGAGCGAGATTTGTATGTTTTGCAACTCTCATCTTTTAAATTTTCCAGACCTGTATATAAAATAAACAGTAAAACAATGATTACATCGTGCATACCATACAATCATTGTTGTTGTTTGTTTGCAGAACACTTGACAAATTATCAGGTAAAAGACTTAAAACCACGATATAGAGCGCGGTGTACCATTTGTTTAATATCATTTGGTTTAGTAATTTTATAAAATAATTTAGAATTCCTACCATTTATGTGTGATATACTTCATGTAAATTAAACTTTACGGCATTACGCCGACAGTTTCCGAATGCGTGACAATACTGTTTCAAACTGTATATATATATATATATATATATATATATATATATATATATATATATATATATATATATATATATATATATATATATATATATATATATATATATATATATATATATTAGAACACAAACTTGAGTTACTTCATATGAACTTTATTTCACTACAAATCTGTTTCGTATCAAATTTGGAGTGAAATAAAGTTCATATGAAGTAACTAAATACGAAACAAATTTGGAATGAAATAAAGTTCATATGAAATAACTGAAGTTTGTCTTCTAATCTTATTAGATCTACTACGTTACTGAGCACTCTACTCATATATGATTCCAAACTCAATCATCCCTCGGCACGGTCCAAACGCCTTGGATTAAGTTTGTTCGGACTACTTTTAGTCTGGCCCCTTATCCGTCCACCTGTCTTAATTGGATGGCCCCACCAGGAGCTTAAGCTCCCGCCAGCATAGCTCGGGTCATCAAGGCACTCAAGTCCCTCTACCCGACTACAAGGTAGTAGTCCGTGCATGCGTTCTTTTAACAGTCACTTAAAGTTATCTTATTCCTCTATTGCAGTGTTCAGGATGCAATGATGCATGGTATTGTGGACAGTCGTGTCAGCTTAATGACCGGAGTAGTCACAAAAAGCTTTGTCAAAAACGTATTAAAGGTGTTAAAGATGCTGCGAAAAAACAGCGTGACTACTACGAGAAGCGATCAGGTGGACCAATTGCTCGACCATACTATGTGGGAAACACTCTTGCTGTTGATATGCTCAACCTTCAGGAAAATGAATGTAATATGAAGTTGGAGAGAAGCGAACGAACCATCAACTTGAAAAGCGATTTCAGCATTCTGCAAGCTGGGTGTGGCAATCTACGACATACCATTCTAACCACAGCATCTCTACCGGAGGATTTTGAGGGAAAACTTTCCATCACACTCAATGATTTTGACCCATTCGTTCAAGCAAGGAATGTTCTTTTTCTTTGTATGATGATTGTATTCGCAACAAAACCTGGCATTGCTGAACTTATAACAACGATCTGGTATTCGCTGCACCTTTCTAGCAGTCAGTTCGATTTTCTGACAGAATGTCTGACAAAACTGGTTAGTTTCCACAGCGTTGCTCTGGTCAGGGTTACCAAAGGACTTGTGAACATTACCGAAGAACACATGGCACAATTGAGAGAGGTCTGGCGCGGATGGCTGGGGCTTCAATGTGATAAAAGTTGTCCAAAATACATTAACCTGAAAAAGACGCGTGACGTATTTCATAATCTTATGAATCATGATCCTACACAGAATTTCAACAAATGGGCATTCCTTCTGAAAAAACAGGCCCCACAGGAATGCGTGAAATCAGTCGAACAGTGGCTTGAGGATGGAAATTTTCAAGCATCCTCTGAAACACTAAAATACGACAACCCCACTTTGACTGGTTATAATTTATTGCAAGGTAAAAAGTACACGCTCACAGAGGCACTAGAAACCCTGAAATTGCCAAGGCAGCACGAATTTTCATATTGCATATCCGGAAAATTATCTGTATTTGGCGAATGGGACCAGCTGCTTGTTCAGAAGCACAATTTGAACAAATCTTTGATACTCCGCTTTCACTCTTACATCACAAGTCTTGTTGACAAAACCATTTCGTTTTTTAAAGACAAACGTTTGTCAATTGACGTTCAAGTGTGTAATTGTATGGAACTTCCATCTCGATTACCACCAAATGCCCAGTTCGACCGTGTTTTCACCTCCAACGTTGCAGACTATCATGGAACGAAAACAGTATTGAAAACCTTCAAATCTCTTCTGAAAACCAGCAACAAAAAGGCTGTTCTTGTTACTCAATATCAAATGTGGCCTGCAGCGTTCAACGAAGCCTTAGTTGAGAAAAACTTCGAAATTACTATTGATGGAACATACAATCAGTTGTTGCTGGACGCCAGACATGACACTGGGAGAAAAGATATTGATGAGATGCTGAAAATGTATTCAAAGGTCAAGGGAAATTCAATGTTTTGCATGATGGACGAAACTTCGGCAGTTGATCCACAGTCAATGGTTGACGCAATGAGTAAGCTGGGCATTGATGAGCATCTTACTCAGGAGTACTTCAACAACATGATATATTTCATTAGTTTGTTGCGAGCTGATCTCATGGCCTGTGACCAAAGTTTACCTGCAGAGAAAGCTGCCCCATTTCAAGAAGTAACGAGCATGGAAGGATTCAGGATGAGAGATTTCAGGCGTGAACTGAATAGAGTGGTTCCATTTGCGTATCGACGTAACGCCAGACCAATCAACTTACTGAAGGCACTTCTTCGCATGGTGGAATGGCGATTGTCGGATGAATAGAATGACTGCATGACTCGAGCGCCATACTTTATTCCTCTATATACAACATCGAAGAGAAGAACAAAGGACTATATGGTTCCATACATTAGGCGTGTGTCAGTGGTCTCTATATATAGGACTGGAGAGAGAACTGCGGCGATTTACTCATAAATGTCGTAAATGAATGTTTTGGAAAGATATATTGTAGAATTAGTATGAAATGGCAGCATATGTTTTGGGGGAAACGTCTTCAAGAAACAGCTAGTTCGTCAAACATTGCCGGTTTCTCCTTCGTTTGTAAACAAGTAAAGCTTTAAGCGACATAGATGAATCAATTTGTAGCACTCGATCACTAGTAGTTTGTCCATTTGATTTCTTTCAAGGGCATTTTTCAGTTCAGTTCAGGACAGTGCTCGAGCAAAAGCTTACTGCAAAAGTACGTTCAAGGCAGCTGTGTAGAGAACTAGACAAAACAAAGAAGGGCGTCCCTCAAATATCTACATGTCCGCCATGTTCTATTTCACACGATAGATCGAAGTTCTCTCTCCAGTCCTATATCGAGCTTATGGTTTGGGCCTGATTTCAGATTTTGTGGGTGTACATGCATTCAATGTTAATTCAGTGGGTATAATTTGTTTGATTATTGCAGTATCATATTTATATATTTGATTATTTTGATAAGTTGTCTACTAGGAACTTTAGTCTTAAACCGGATTACAAAGTTATATTCATTACCAAACGGTCATATTGTCCTACAAACCAAACAAAAATGAAAGTTGTTAGAAAATGTTCGAGATTTAAATGTTTTTAGAGGTCATTCTAGAACGAACAATTCCTAGAAGGAAAAATTCCTAATGGTAACTTGAAATAGTCGGTAACCTAAGCATAACTGGACAAACAGTGAAAGTCTGACTGATGTAATGACTTTGGATCGACCTGGCAATTCTTGTGAATCATTTCCAGCAATTTCCCACAATTAATTTTAAAGTAACCTTGTTTATTTTGCCGGATGATAGGCAGATATATTTCTGTGAAACACATTCCTAACTGAAAAATTATAGAGAAGATTCTTCTTGCCAATGATTATCGTATTGTAAAAGAATCATTACACAACAACAAAAAAGTAACAGTCAGGTCGAGCGTTACTAAAAACTGCGACACTGTAGAAAATTCAACTGCCTGAAAAATACAAAAAGAACTTCGACACTTCGAGCGAAGGCCCATCCTTAAACGACCAGCCTGACGAAGGGCCTTCGCTCGAAACGTCAAAGTTCGTTTTGTATTCTTCACGTAATTGAATCTTCCAGTGTCGCAATTTTAATCCTTGCTACCTATACGGCTATACTGCCAATGAAGGTCCATACAGACCGAACGCGATTCGACAACGCGACGCGAATTTTCAGTTTTTAAAAACAAATAAAACCGTCAACGGATAAAAATTTATAGAGCATAGCAATAGGCAATTCCAGCTTTTAGTTTATGCGTGCAGGGGATGATGGGAAGTAAGGCATCATATTGCCGGTTATGCTGAAAAAGTTCAATAAAAACTGCCGAAATAACAGAAATATTTGAATATTTACAAGTATAAGCTGTCACTCCGTGTTTACACGGCCACCATTATTATTTCTTCAGCATAATCAGCAACACGATGCCTTACTTCCCGTCATCCCCTGCACACATAAACTAAAAGCTGGAATTGCCTATTCAAATATTTCCATTGTATATATAAGTATTGGAAAGCCCAAACCGAGAATATTATTTTTTTAATAAGAATACTACTAGAAGTTACTATCGCCAGGAAAATGCTGCCTCACCCCCAAGCGATTATAAAGGCAGAATGGACAATTTGCTGAATAAGGGGCTGTTTATATGATCCCGCTTTGCCAGGATGAGATATGAGGCAGGATGATTTTGATGTGCTTAATAAGTCATGATGCATGATTCAGCAAAAAAATTCCACTATTTTCTAGAGATGGATTATAGTTAATTGTAAACGAAAGGTTGCCTGTTCAAGCGTAATATAACCTTCTTGAACCACAAGATCTTCTCTACAACATTTGAGTTCTGCTAACCAGCGTTTGAACTTTCGTTTAGCCTAGTGACTAATATTTTAATACATCAAAATCATCCTTTCTTCCATCATGCAAATATGCAAACAGTCCCCAAGACGCCTGTTCAGGAGGTAGGAAAAGTGCAATTTGAATATCAAATAAACATCTTGCACAAAGTCGAAGGGCGACTGAAAGTTCTAATTCTACTTTCTTGGCATGGGCGGTTTTATATGAATATCTTCAATGCTTATACCTTCTTGCTTTTGTATAATTATAATACTGTCTAGCCATAGCAACAGGTCATGCTGTGCAAGTCTTTAATGATTTGCATTATTCAAATAGATGCAGGTTTATCAGTATAGCATGCATATGGCCAGTTGCCATGGTAAGCTTGACACTGAATACTGTACAATGTTTTAAACATATCAACGGCCTGCCCGGGGGGAACACCCCCGGGACAACCGGGGGAAAACGAGGGGGAATTTGGTATTTTATCCGTGTATTCTGCCCGTGAACCCCGGGGAAATTACAAACTTCGCAATAATAGGACGGGGGGAGGGGAATTAGGGGATTTTGACGTGACAATTTGAATGTTATAAATGAAGTGAACAATTGGTGCGAACTAAAAATCGCAGGCTCACGGAGAAAAATATCGATCGCCAACTTATTATTTATGATATTTTGTAGTGGTCTTGCTTAAGGCAATGTTTAAGTGCTTTTCGATCACAATAGTCGCTCAGAACAAAAATAATTGCCTAAATTATATTTATTCCTTAATTATTACCGTCTGGCGTATTCTAAGTGACTTAAGCGAGTCAATAGCATTTCGTTATTTGTATAGACCATGAACGCGTGATATTTGCAAAATTTCGACTTCCAAATGTTTGGGGGAATAAAAATACCTTAGTGATATAGAAATATGGCAGATCATATTTTGGGACAGTTTTAGACGTCCCACATGGTCTTCAGTATACACCACGTAGTGAAACACGGGGAATAAATCATAGTGCTGTCTGCATGCGCATTCCGAATCGTGATAGATTGCAGTTGAATCACCATTTGTGCAACACATATGAATTGAACGGTTTTATTTTGAACAGATTATCTATAGAATGAGGGTTCCCTTTCTCCTTCCATGGAACGTCTAGGATGGATCTAAATCCAAGAAACATCAACAGTGTTCAGAGCACACAGAGAGACTCAGAGCAGAGAGTCGCGAAAGAACAACAAATGAACTTTTTCGGTGGCGAAATTTTCGCCAGCGGCGGCGAAATACGTTTTCCACTCATGTATTTCGCCGTCGCTGGCGAAAAATTTCGCCACCGAAAAAGTTCATTTGTTGTTCTTTCGCGCCGTCAACGAAAGGTCAAACAGAAGTTGAAAAGTTTAAGCAACTGTAGCAGGAGAACAAATTTCTTCAGCGGCGAATGAATGTAAAAAAATTATTTCTTTGTCAAAATTTTTCGCCAGCGGCGGCGAAATAACGGAGTGGAAAATGGACATTACTCGACATTAATTCGACTGGCAGATTTCCACCTACATGTATATGATACCCGTAAAAAATTACTTTTTCGGAATTAGTATAGGTAATAGCATGGGACCGAGTAAAATTTAGGTTTACTTTCACGCGTGTTTTCGATTACTTGTTAATCATAGAGGGCAAAATTTATTCGTAATTGTGAACTTGTCAAGTTCTTGAACCTCGTGTATCTCCATGTCTTCGCAGATGTTTCTTAATGCTGCCCATTTCTTAGTAACACCAATCCATAAATTTGTACCTTTTCTAGTGTTCGAGTCTTCACTAGAAGTTTTTAGTTCTTCAATAGCATCATTATATGCGCAAAAAACCAGCCTCATACCCAGGCGCTAGATTTGTTGTGCTACATCGTCGCGAGACAAGCACGTGGGACGACACGCGTGGGAGAAAATGGACTGAATTCGCCGGGAAGCCTCACCACGAAATCGATAAAATTAATCCACGCAGCCCACGCAAGCCATAGAACAATACACAACGCCTGGGTACGAGGCTGGCAACAAAGCGAGTCATTGGGTGTATTGTTATTTAATTAAAAAAAGAAACGTCCTGGGCTGCGCTTGCGTCTCAGCCAATCGGGTACAAGTAATTTTGCCCTGAATTAAGAAAAAAAATGCTCTCATCATTGGCCAATCATATTCCAGTAATCTTGCCTTTATACGATAGGATTATACGTATAATATATATATAAAAATATTACTCGACTGTGATTGGTTGATTTCAATTCAGTCCCAAACAGTAGCGCATTTTTTCGTAATCACAGTGCAATTTTCTGTAATTACAGTGCGATGATAAAATCATCCAATCAGTTTAAAGAAGGAACGTCAAAGATTCAAGATGCCAAGAAGATCATATACAATTTCCCAAGCTAATCCAGTTTTTTCTAACGAAACATATCGCTAATCAAGTTATCAACTCAAAATGGTCAGATTGCTTCAAAACAGACACGGCGCCGCGCTACATAAAGGTAAAAGTTGACTTCGGTTGGAAAATATGGCTTTTATCTTTTAAAAAAAAAAAAGATGGAAAAGCCTTTACCTTTAAACAAGACTATAACAAAACTTACATAGTTGAGTGGAATTTTCAAGCTGTTAGCGTTGTACAATGTGATATAACAAAGCCAGGGAAACTTTGCCAGTGGACGGTTCGCTATAAACGTAAGTTAAAACTACAATTGCCTCGAACATTTTTATGGAAATTATTAACAATAGCGTGGTTTCTCGAGAAATTTGGATAAACATGCACTCGTGAGTTTTTCAAAGATTTTGAAAAACTCACGAGCGCATGTTATACCCAAATTTCACGAGAAACCATGCTATTACCTATACTAATCGTACTCCCCCAAAGGAGCGAATAAATAGAAAGCCCCAGTAACTAAACGCTCCAAATATAGAGCGTCTTCTTGACTTGGTATTCGCAGCGATCCCGTACGTTTACAATATTTGGATGTCTACTAATTACAGACAAGTAAATTCAACATATTTGGAGATAAATATTCACTTTATTTTACTTTAATAAAACTTTAAAATTACGGTAAAAATTTAGCAATTACTAACTAAATCTAATTCAATAGCGTTCAAAAACATTTGAGGTACTTTCTCTTTGCTGTTAATGAATAAAATTTTGGCAAAGCTGCCTGGAACCCAGAGATATGTACACATGTGTGGGACAATGATCGACCTACTTTGTACAGTATATTTACAAATGTACAATAGCGCCAATATGCTATTATCGCCTTCAATTATAAGGACGTGCGGTGCGAATTTCGTGTGCTCGCCACAGGTATTTGTCATTCACGCTATTGGAATGGTACTTGGTGAAGGAATATTGGCCACATTTAAATACCTACAAAATATAATCACGTATCTGAATTTCTGAACCACCAAGGTCCGGCCAGCATGCGGGTGTGGTCAAGTACAGAACATATTTCTAGCACTGATGATCAAACAAGATCAATTGAGATCCACCCATTTTCTTTCCTCCGGAAACTTTCGTAAACTAAGGGGCTGTTTATATGGAAGCGAGCCAGCCCGGGTACCCGAGCTGGCTCGCATCCCTGAGATGAATTTCACCACGCGTTTACATGAAACTTACATGAAGGGCTGGCCCTTCTTGTTCTAATTTTTTTGGCGCAAACTCCACCATATATGGAAGTTGGTTCCATATATGGGAGTTGTTTGTGCATTCTGAATTATTCTAATAATTTGCGCATGCGTATTTGCTAAATTTCCAGCCCTACCAGGAGGGCTAGCCCTCCCTGTTGCGTTTATATGGAACACTACCCAGCCCGTTTACCAGAGGTCTCGGGTCACACGAAGCGGGACCTCGGTTAGGCGGGCCAGCTCGGTTCTCATATAAACGCAACATGAAATTTAGGAAATATTAACAAAGACGGGATCCCGCCTAAAGCGAGCTAGCTCGGCTACCCGAGCTGGCTCGCCTCATATAAACAGCCCCTAAGCTTCAATTAGTATTAAAATGGTATTCACGAAGAGCCAAACAACAAAGTATTAAGTATAAGTACAGGGCCCTAAAAAAATACCTGTTGTTCCGGTTTCCGACCGACCCTATTTTTTTTCTGCCGACCCTATTATTTTTTCAACGCAATTGACCGTGCGACCCTATTTTCTCAGGGTGGTTGCGGGCTTGCTCATGCAGCGTTTAACTAAATTGCCTAAATTCGTCCATAGGAAATACGCATCTCCAGTTAATATTGATGTCGGGACTCTACTGAAAAATCGCCCAGCAAAAAACCGCCAAAACCATGAAAAAAATATTCAAAAAAATATTTATTTCCGACCTACCGACCCTAATTTTTTCATGATATGAAACCGGAACCACAGGTGTTTTTTTGTGTGTTTTTTTAGGCCTAGTGTCTAGTATAGAAGGAAAAAAATCAAAAAAAAATCTTGGGATCAGTGCTGAAAAACGTCCGGCATCGCCATTTGGAAATTTTTAACAAAATCTAGGCGAAATTTTTCGATCGAACCGAAATTTCTTTTGTTCAAATTCAAAAGATTTCTGTTTAGTTCCATCTGAATGCTTGTAAGACAAAAGAAAATTTCGATTCGGTCGAAAAATTTGGCTTAGTGGAAAACCGCCTTAAGACCATCTGCATTGTTCACATACCTCGATTCAGCGTATTTCTCTCGAATGGCTTTTTGAGTTTGATTTGGTGCCATGGAAAAAGTTCTATGTAAATCACTAATACAATCGTTCAAACTTGCCAGGTCAACACCAGTGTAATGCTTTAATGAAGGTGTCTAGTGTAGAGAAGTAGAATGTTGTTCAAAAAATGTTCCCATTGAGTCTGGATAATCTGCAGTATATAACGCTACACCAGGGTTTGAGAGGTAGTGCAAATTGCCATATAAAAACTTACCCATGAAGGAAGTTCCAGTATATGAAGAGCTAAAACAACAGCTGAAGCAGCGATAGTTGATGGATGGTATTTCAAATATGGATCTGCATCTTGCAATGTTAGCTCACAGATGTACTGCGAAGATATTTTGAACACAATTAAAGAAACATTGAAATGAATATAACTGGAACACTACATGTACCTCCATACACTCTTGTTTTACGCCATAATTTGTCAGTATAAACAAAAAGTTCAAGCAATTTTTAATGCTAAAGTTCAGCCCAGCAAATAAGCTTAAAATGCGTAAAAAGTTCGTCTGACATTGCTGGGCTTCCTATGGCTATGATTAGATACGATTTTGCCGAAACAATCGCTAGTTAATTGATGAAATGTGTTACTACATTATTCATTAAATTGACAGGACTATTTTGTTTTACAAGATTCACAGCTAGGCCCTGCAGGAATTGTGCGACCTGCCCATGGCGCAACAGGCGCTGCGAAGGAGCGTATGCAGCCAGGACAACCAGGCAAAAGGTTCCGCCCGGAGGATGTTCTAAAATCTAAATTTACTTCACGAAAAACCTCACCCTCCTAATATTTAAATACATTGTTCGCACTTTATTGCGTGCCTGTCGCACAACGTATTTGGTTAATGGTTATCAGGGTGTTAGCCAGAAGTAAAAAAAAATCCGCGTTTACCTGAAATTGGGAAATTTATTTTAGCCTGAAGCCGGACATTTCTTTGTGGGTCTGGGGTCATGCGGTTGCCCCCTCTCAATTTTTAGATTTTTTGTGTCTTTGAAATGGCATTTCCCGCATTTTGGGATGTTTTTAATGGTGTACGTATTAACAACATTGAATTTCTATAACTATTTTTTGGCTGACCCAAATTGGGAAATTGCGACCTCAAGGTTAATTGGGAAAACCGCGTGTAACGCGGAATTTTTTACTGTAGCTAACACCCTGGTTAAGTACCTTACAACTTCAGGGGACGCATGTCAGCATTTGCATACCAGTGGAGAAATAAGCCTTATAACAATTGCAAGACTGCAAGTCATAGAATAAAATGTACTCAAACATACCCTTGTCAGAAAGCAGAGCTTGCGTTTCATATCTTGCGGAAAATCAGCTGCTTTTTCATATCTGTCCAGAAACGACAGGATCGTTGGGACATTCATGTCAAATTGTAAAACTTTTAAAACCAAGTTCTCCATTTTTCTGACCTGAAATAAACATTTGCCAATTAGTTTTCCTGCTCATAGAATACTAACAATAGTTAATGCACTTCTACATTAAAATATACGGTCCTCTGTAGTTATCATGGTTAGTTTTGCACACAATGTGACCTCTTTTGATACAGTTTTTATGCACACGAAAACTAAAGCGTCGTCTTTGACTTTGCCTAAGATGTTGTTTAAGTTCAACAGACTGCCAAAATCATTTCGGGCAGGCAAAAACCAGACATCTAGTGACAATCACTTATAAATGTTATAATAGCCTATTATTTTAATTCTAGAAGATGATCGACGTTCGGTAGCAACAGTCATAAAAATCTAGTATTCGCCCAGAAAATATACAGTAGTACCCATATTTGGCCAGTAAACATCTTAGGAGTAACCAAACATTGAAACCAGTTTAAAGATTCACTGGAAAACAGTATATCATGCAAAATCTGCAAATACGGACACCGTGAATACTGTAGATCTTTCACAAATAAATCTTTCTTGAGGAGAGCAATTTTTCACTAGATCTCAGTGGATACCAGGCTTGTGATGTATAGCATCCAAATTTATAATCTGGTATCCTGTGGATATAGGGATATTGAAAACTTAAAGTTCTAGTTTCAAACAATTTTTGTAAAGATAGAATTGTATCAATACTGTATATTTACTTCTTTGTCAGAATATGTGTCATCAGTTATATAGACGAATTCAGCAACTTCAGGTGGATAAATTTCCTCCAGTTTGGATGCAATGAGCATGCAAGCAGTCCCAACAAGCTGCAGTTTCTTCCTAACTACAACCATTGACGAGAGGAAACGGTCAATGTAGTTCACAGCAAGGTACAAGGTATCTGGGCAAAGTCGGTATTCTTCTCCCACCTCGACAAGCCAGTCGACAAGAATTGCTCTCATGCTGTTGTTAATATCAGGTTGTTTCTTCATGTAGCCAGGTTTTGGTCGGTGCTTCAACTATGAAAATGATTACATATATTTATATATTGCATGAAGAGCACAGTCACAGATGTATCGACTATTGTACAGTAATTAATGCTGGATCAACACTTAGGCTAATAGTCCCAATAGATCTTTCCCCTTTTGAGTGAAATTTTGATCTAGACAAGTCTGGACAACAATTTCATCACAGCTTGATTCAAGAGCATCACAAAATTAGTAATATTCCAAAGTTTCGTTGCAAAATGTTGTAAAATGCGGATAATATAGCCTTGCGAAGTTTGCCGTTTTTCAGTCATTTTGCATTACAAATGGAATTGATAATCAGTTTGATCATCTGATTATCAATTTCCCGTTTGTAATGCAAAATGACTGAAAAATGGCAAACTTCGCAAGGCTACTGTATATTATCCGCATTTTACAACATTTTGCAACGAAACTTCGGAATATTACTAATTTTGTGATGCTCTTTCAAGCTGCGATGAAATTTTTGTCCAGGCATATCTAGATCAAAATTTCACTCACAAGGGGAAAGGTCTATTGCGACTACCATACTGCGACAAAATTTCAGGGTTTCATGTAGTGAGAAAATATTTCTCAATTCAGGGGATTACGGATTATACAGGGTGTTATAAGAAAAATGTACACCCTTTCAAATTCACCGTAATCTACTGTATTGTAGTAATTTGACAGCCGTATAATTTCTCGAATTAATGAATGGGTGAAAACACAAGTTAGATCTTCTGCACATGGGAATTTAGGTTCTTCTATTTGTATGAACAAATACACAACACAAAGAAAAACGTTTAAAGTAAGCATTATTCAAGTCCGCATAAGATATAAAATGGGCCAGTTTACTGCAGAGCAACGAATATTTAAAAGGTTATGGCTAATTTGAATTTGAAAGGGTGTCCCTTCCCTGTCTTTGTAATAGGGAAGTCCAGATCTGGTACAGGTAGTTATAAATTTATCAAACAGGGGCAGGTTGTTCAAAGCATGATTAACGCTTTGAACCGCGAGTTACAGTAAAATTTTAACCGCAGTTTTGTGCATTTCTGCATTACGACTTTAGTAAATATAACTTAATTCTGTCGAGTGTTGATCCAGAATAGATTTCTCGCACACTTTCGGCGGCGCGGTTTGCCAGCATAGTCTTTCGAGACATGGTCTGTTAACTCAGTCTCAGTAAACTTCAAAGTCTGTGGTTATAATGAGCTGGGATTTTATGTTGAGCCATGCCTTATAGTTACACCGTGTACATCCTTTGTTTTAGGTTTATTAATTTAATATTTAAATAACATGGTTTAATGACTGAACTGAAACTCTGATTGGATGATTCGTTCATTATATACTGAAATACAATGCGTTTATTGACCGTGCACCGTGCACAAAACTGCATAAACGCGAACAAAAAGATAGCACAAAGACTTTAGCGGAGTTTCCAAGCCTGATGTTTTGAAAGACTATCTTGCCATGATTCGCTCGCTACTCTGGTTGAAAATAAATGATTACAAAGCCCAGTCGAATTGTAATCAAGACCCAACGTTTCGACACTCCAGTCTAGTGTCTTAATTCATTAGGGATGATCTAAAATTGCAATCGTGGTTTCTTAAATACCCTAGGGATGACGTCACCTGCCAATGAGATGGTGACGTCATCCCTAGGGTATTTAAGAAGCCACGATTGCAATTTTAATCACCCCTGATGAAGACACTAGACTGGAGTGTCGAAACGTTGGGTCTTGATCACAATTCGACTGGGCTTTGTAATCATTTATTTAAACCAGAGTAGCGAGCGAAAAACATGATTTATATACTTGGTTGCAGTGAACGAACAAACTTTAAAACTATGCTGCCAGGCACACTGTCACAAGGGGCACTTACCCCCCACCCCATGCAGGTACTCCGGTTTCCTCCTATACAGGGAATGTTAACAGGGTGGGTTGGGATTAGCTACATGTAGCCCCCTAACTGACCCTTCCATCATAGCTGGGCTCCATGTCAGCGACAATTATATAGTCATATAATTTTAGTCAATTTGTTAATCATAGAGACATTAAGTCATAATTTTAAGGTGGCTGCAGAGGCATCCTTAGCAAGCCTTCAACTGGATCATGTTGAGCTGCATCCTTTGCAATTCATCAGAGTTAGTGAACTCTCAGCTGCAAGGATGATTAGCACACACCACTTTCTTTTTAGGGTAAAATAATGCCCTACCTGTACATGCCCTTAGAATAAGTGCACGATACAAGTATATGCATGTTTTAATTGTACAGAAAAAATGACAGAATTCATGAAAGATACTCACAGTACAGATGCGGCATCTACAGTATGTTGTTACTTTCTACACATGGTATAATTTTACCTCTGCTGCCTTCAAGTACTGATGAATTTCAGCAGCATACTCAGGAACATCAGTGATAGTGTCTGAATTGGAATCTATATCTTTAACAGGCTCTGGGATATCTGCTTCGCTCTCTTCATCATCACTTGAATCAAGCAGCATCGGCGAGTCTAGAGAATATAGCACACAAAAAGATCAGTACCAGTAAATTTTACATGTCGTTTGGAAAAACTGTTTGCAATTTTTAGTATTTATGCCAAAATGATGTACAAATTACACACCATCAATTTGAATTGTGTTCTAATAATATATCATACTCAAGCAGGATCTGCGACTTGCTACAAAGTCTGCCTCTCAAAAAAGGTTTTCATTTGAGATTTTGAGAGGGCAGACAGGCAAGCCACGCTGCTCTCCTGCTGGCATTTTCACACACTCTTACAGTAAATATAAAACCAAAATAAAACTCCCCCTGATTAATGACCGGTAACTTGCCTATTTGTGGCCACCTGCGAATTTATACATCAAACAAAACTTAAGCAATCAACAGTAATAGTAACAAAATATTTTCTCCTTTTCATAGTCATCTACTTCAGAATATCAATTGAAAATTGAAACAAAAGATTCAATTTGATTGTAAACTGGTAAGGCTTCAAAAAATATATACCATTTCATACTGTACATATATGCACAAATATTGTAATCTTCAGAAGTCTCAAAGTTCTGTGTGAAAACACCTTCCAATATGCAGGAAATGGCATTTCAGATCCCTCTAGCAGTCATGCACCTTCGGTACCATATTTATACTTTCGGCCAGCTACTATCACCTTTTGGCCACCTACGTGTAATGTAAAGACAGCTCTGCTTTGAGAGGCAAACTGCAGACTTGGAGCAAGTCTGGCAGAATCTCAACATGCTAGGCTAGGCATGGGTCATTCCAGAAAAGATTTGACAAATATCTGATTAACCCATATATAACAATTACTGTACATTTTACTGTATTATTTTACTCTGTCTAATGCCAGATGATTGTACCCGTCAAGGGGAGAGCACGGACCATGCTCAATGGGTTAATATATTATGAGATGGCAAGTTGTATGCCAATCAACACCAGGCTTAGTATTTACATTTGCTGTTGCAATTATACTGTATTATATTGATCCTATAATTTTCTAAATGTGAAAACCTTATTGAATATTGCATTAAAATATTGGTGTACTGAAAATATCAAGTTTGAGTGTGATACGGCTCTGTTAGGGGCCATTCACAAAGGATGTCCGGCCAAATGATGGATTTTCAGACCCCCCCTCCCCCCCCTTGTCCAAATTAGTGACCCCCCCCCTCCACCTTAAAACAAAATCTAGTATTAACCACCTAGTCAAAATGCCAATTTCATCGATGGGAAGGAGAGTTCAAAATAAGGAAAAAGAAATTTGTTTTTGAATTTTTTTAAATTTCGGACATCCGGATTGCTACCCCCCCCCCCCATGTCCAAATTTGTCCTGATTTTCGAAACCCCCTCCCCCTCCCTCAGCTCGGACATCCTTTGTGAATGGCCCCTTATTAAAAGTAGATATCACAGTACCAGCTAAAAGTATGACATCATTCACTTCATATGCATATAAAAAGACTCAGCTTCTATTTGATGTACCTAGTCAGCCGCTGATTTCTCAATCTTTGTTTATAAAGAGTGTTGTCTTTGTTTCTCCTTATAAAATTAGATAAGTTTCCTTCTTTCAACTTACTGCAGAACAGGTCAAAGTGATACAAATTTTCATTCATAAACAGACTCTGCCAGTAATTTTTGTGCCTTCAAGAAAAATTCACAAGAGCCTATACAAGAATGCATCCTATATTTTGGAAGCTTAACTGTCGAAAAGTCAGAATTTTGAAGATGCACTGGGCCTCAGCCTGCAAAAATGCCTCTGAGCAGCATTCACTAGCTATCAAATAAATACAAAAATATTCCATTTGGACCAAAATGTTCACACCTGTGCCAGACTGCATAGTTGGTCAAAGTCAGTTTTTAGGGAAAAGTTTTAGCACAGTCCCTGGGAAGTGCTTGATGTACATATGTAAACAATTTTCAAATCTCAAATCACCCCCAAAATTTTCATTGTGTCCACATATGCGACCCTGACCAGTACAGTCGCTCGATGCGCCCTTGGAAAATGTTTTGTACCCTTGCCCCTGAATTTTTAAGCTTTTCCTTGTCGAAAACTGCCCGACTCTGTAGTCTGGACCACATGTGCATAGCACCACACACTCTCTGAAACCTATTAACTATGGAAGTTTTACATTAAATTTATTTTGGTTTTTAACCCATTAAGCGTCAGCGCTCTCCCCTTGACGAGTAAAATCATCTGGCGTTAGACAGAGTAAAATACTAAAGTAGGGTGTATCAGGGTGCAATGCGACTCAATGGGTTAACTACACACACAAGCAGATAGGCCAGTTAACCCATTAAGCGCCAGCGCTCTCCCCTTGACAAGTAAAATCGTCTGATGCTAGACAGAGTAAAATACTAAAGTAGGGTCACCAGGGTGCAATGCGACTCAATGGGTTAATAATATTACAGGATTTTTTTTTTTCTAAGCCTGGTTATTTGTGGCAGAATAGATATGGCCCCTAAAAGCAATACGCGTGTGATCTTGGCCCTGGCATGCTAGGTTTTCCAGGCATGCTTGCCTGACAAGTTCGGCTCATAGCATCGTGATTCATGAACAGTGCCTAGTATATAATTTATTAATAAAATGGAATACCAAAAGCATACCATAGAGATCATTTTGAATGCTTGGCGCTGGAAAAACTTCAGTTAAAGGTTGCCTGGAAAGAGCTGTGACCACTGGATCAAGATCAAGGCTGTCAAACCTCCCAGAAGATGAACTCTTGGGCTTGCTCGTGTCTTTGTCAATATATACAGAGAATCCTTGCGGGGGGACATTGAAAGCAGAGTGGGAAACTTTGGCAAACACATTCGCTTCGCTTGAATTCCGATGAGATGCTGTTGGCGCTTGTGCCTGCAAAGAAAAGGGAATTCCAAATAAATAAAATGTCGTACTTTTTAAAGAAAATCGCATATCTAAATTTTCAGAAGAACTGTATATTTATACACAAACTGTTTCAATACATACCTTTGCCGCTCGGAATGGTTGAATTCTGATGTTGTTCGACGACAATGTACCCAAAGCAGCACGTTTTGCCGGTAATGGTTCGTTTCTCTTGCTGTCTGCATTCTCTTTCTGACTTCTTTTAGTCAGCTTGCTTCTTTCGTTTTGATTTAAGGCGTTGGTCGATACACGAAGTCCTGTTGAAGTCATGACTTTGCTTCTAGAATCGTTGCGGATTTGGTTGAAGATTGAACGCTTTTTCACAGGTAAAAAATGCCCGTTGTGTCTTAGCTACAGCTACGAGATTTCTTCACAACGCGGTCAAGACTGCTTGCTTGAATTTCACAAGATGTGTCGAAGAAAAGCACTTCCAAACTCGTCGTCTACCAAAGAATTCAGCCAAACCAACGAAGACAACGATCGAATTTCGAAGCTTTTTGTACATGGCGCTTGGATTTTAAGTTACCCGCTCATGCCAATCAACCAATCACATCGCGAAGTGAAATTGCGAAACATCCGGTTTAAACATATCCGGTAGAATTTTAGCACCCAGTCTTCAGCGTGGTTATGCGTGGCAAAGAACTTCTTGAAGAACGTTTTGTATGTTTAGGTAGTTAAACACAGTACAGTGCTCGCAGCACGGATTATTAAATAACATCATTATTGAAAATATTTATAGTAAATTATTAAAGATATAATGGTTAGTAATTAGAGACCTAGCAAAGCATTGGTCAAGAGGAGTTGACTTAATGCAGGCATTTAAAGTAGGATTAAGCTCAGGGGCGTAGGAACCGGGGGCAGCCACCCCCCCTACGTTTTGCCAAGTGCCCTTTTTCCGGGAGCCGGGAGCAAATCCCTTTTCTTGCGTGAAAAATGCCATTATTAAGAGTTCATTTTTGCCCAAAGGGCACTTTGAAAACTTGAATTTATATTATTTGCGGAAAAAATTTTTAATTTCCGGAAAAAATATCATATATCCGGAAAATTTTTTGGTCTATGCTGAAATTTTTTTTCATATTTAGGAAAAATGTGATATATCCGGAAATTATTTTTGGTATATCCGGAAAATTTTTTTGAGATAACCTCCCCCCCGGGAAAAAATTTTCCGGGAAAAAATTTTTAGATGCCCTTTTTTACTCGAAAAGTGCCCCTCAAAGTCTGCCCCCCCCCCCAACTTTTAGAAGCTTCCTACGCTTCTGATTAAGCTTGGATATGAAAAGGCTTTCACGAATGAGTAAATCCGCTTTAGAAGTAGCAGTGGAAAGGATTTTAAACTCAGAGGGTGAAATTTGATGTTTAGTGGTATGGATATGAGCGAGTATGCCTGACATGGTTGAAACAGAACGTTTCTTTCCAGTCGAAGGTGAAACACCCATGTGTTCAGAGATACGCGTGTGTATGTGTCGGCGAGTTTGACCAACATACACGGCACCACAGCATTGACACTTATACAAATACACAACAGGGCCATAAGAAGCTTTTTTCGATTGGGGGGGGGGAGGGGCGGCTGAAAGCGAGGGCCGAAGCGGAAGGCCCGAGGAATTTTTAAATTTAGAGTCTCCGAAATGCCATTTCCTGGACTTTGAGGAGGATTTGACAGAATTCTAATGGTCAGAAAACAGCGTTTTAGTATGTCGAAATTTACAATTCAGTAGTACTAAATGGGCGAAGGCGTATTTAATGAACTATATATTGGATAAATTGTTGGAAAGTATGGGTAATATCTTCATTCTTTGCTGTTTGGCATGGATTGAATCATAAAGGTCTGCATGATTTTGAAAAATGAATGATTATTAGCAAATTATTGGGGGCTGCACCTCCCCCAGCCTCCCACCTCCCGGTTGCTACGGCCCTGCACAACTTGCGATCTCAGTTCACAGGGAATTTTGTCCTTAAATGAAAAGAAGTTGGAAAGACGAAAAGAAGGACGAAAGACGACACGTAAGGAAATATGTGGACAGGTAGAAGAAAGAAATTTCTGAAGTTGTGATCGAATTTGCAAACCATGATAACCAGTGAAATGAAGACAAAAATATATAACCTTTTTAGAGCAAGTATGAACTTTATCTTGAGAGTTATACATTTTATATTTATCAATACCCAACGTTTCGACACTCCAGTCTAGTGTCTTCATCAGGGGTGATCTAAAACTGCGATCGTGGCTTCTTAAATACCCAAGGGATGACGTCACCTGCCAAGAAGATGCATATATTCCTCTGGCAAATAGGCGCCGTCATCCCTATTCAAAGCATGATGACTCATATTTATATGCCACGCTTCTAGGCAAAGTCTTTGACCATAGCGATTGTTTGTGGTGATTACTTTAGAGTTTTCCCACGCAATCTCGTGTTTGGTGTAACATACATGTTCGGCTAAAGCTGATTTTCCCTTGTCTAAAGTTGAAACAGCCTTTTGATGTGCTTTTAGCCGTGTACCAAACTGGCGTTTAGACTGACCCAAATACTCTTTTGTCGCAGTCACCGCATGGTATAGAATATATAGCATGAGTCTTCTGATTTGTTTCAACAGGATCTTTTGGCTTTGCGAAAATATGGCCTAAAGTCAAATAGGGTTTTAAGGCAACCTTAATATTACAATTACTTAAGATTCTCTTGATTGGTTCTGTAACACCTTGAATGTATGGAACTATTGCAAAACCCTTAACAGAGGTATCACCCTCGGAGTTATTTTGGTTCCTACAAACAGGTGGTCTCAGGCAATCATTAAGAAAACGCTTTGGGTAATTATTTTCCCCTAAAACATTTAGAACATATTCACGTTCAACTTTAGACAAGGGAAAATCAGCTTTAGCCGAACATGTATGTTATACACCAAACACGAGATTGCGTGGGAAAACTCTAAAGTAATTACCACAAACAATCGCTATGGTCAAAGACTCTGCCTAGAAGCGTGGCATATAAATATGAGTCATCATGCTTTGAATAGGGAGACGGCGCCTACTGTATATGCCAGAGGAATATATGCATCTTTTTGGCAGGTGACGTCATCCCTTGGGTATTTAAGAGCCACAATCGCAGTTTTAGATCACCCCTGATGAAGACACTAGACTGGAGTGTCGAAACGTTAATCTTGATTACAATTCGACTGGGCTTTGTAATCATTTATTTAAACCAGAGTAGCGAGCGAAACATGATTGATCAGTACCTGGTTGCAGTGAACGAACAAACTTTATAGATAAGAATATATTAGCAAACAATTGGCCTAAGGGTGAACCCATTGCTAATGAACCCATAACCCAAGCTTAATCCTACTTTAAATGCCAACATTAGGTCAACTCCTCTTGACCTATTCTAATGCTTTGCTAATTACTAACTATAATTACTAACCATAATATCTTTAATTTGCTAATATTTTTAATGATAGGTTGTTTTTCATCCCTTCCTCTTATTCGCTTATTTGAATAATGTAGCCGTTTAAAAATTTGTATATATATAATACACGCTTGTAAATAAGTTTAATTGCTCTGAAGATGTTATGAACAATACAACGAAACGTTATAATTTTTTTATATTTTTGTTATGTCGACTTGTCTGAAAGTCAGGCATTTGCTGGGCTTAATTTTCATTTTTTAAATTACGCTTTCCACCCAGTGTATCAATCGCTACTGTTTTTTAAAACATCATTATTGATTTATAATGAGGTTTCATTTTAGTATTTCAGGCCCCCGATGAAAAGTCAAATTTTTGTTGAGCAATGAAAACACTTAACTTCATGATGAAAACATCAGGAGGTATCGTAGATTAAAACTATTTCTTGGGTCTGGGGCCCTTATAGCAGTGCTATATTCAATAGGGTACTTCTACAGGACCCTCAGCCTAGAAGAATGCCTACACAATTAACATAGAGAATTTGAATGGCCTCATAGCGCCGGACCTTCATGCCCTAGGCCTGTCATATTGGGACCCGAAGCAAGTTGCTCTCTATGTTACATTAGGGAACGCAACCCCCCCGCCCCTCCCCCGCCCCCACGCACGCAATATTTCGTTTTTTGGTATAATTTATCGCCTTTATCGCATACGAGAAAATTGTTACCAGATTGACTTACTGTAGTTTAGTTTACACTTCAACTTTACACAAGCAGTTATAACTGCACAGAACAGTTTACTGACAATGCTATAGCGCGAACAGTGCAAGCGGCATATCCGAAGCTGAGCAACCAATCAAATTGCGCGAAAAACACTATCCACCTCCAGAGTATGTGCTAAACCATGAATGCGCCGCCTAATATTCCTTGAATCATTAGCAGCTTAGATGCTCCTTCTCCTGCTAGTGCTACATTTTCCCTGGATCGATAGTTTCCCGAGATTTGGGGTCATTTTGTTAGATAGAACTATCAGTAGATGGGTTTTTGTAGATGGAATATTCTAACACAAATTTATATAACTTTTTAGACCTAACTCAGAGAGAAGCGGACACGTGGGCCGGCCTGCGGATTCCGGTGCCTAAAAATGTATATAAATTTGCATTCAAATATTTCATCCACAAGAACCAATCTACTATTAATTTGAATAGAGTTGGACTTGTATTTCACATAAGACAAAAGGGAGCGACTTTTTACCTAGTTATGACACATATCATCATCATCATTAGCCGAAACTAACAATCAACGACAAAAATGTAAGATATTAAAATCGCCCGGTTTCATAAACGGAAGCGTTGTTGTAGAGACATTCCTTCCTCGCAATATGTTTCCACAAGTTCGGAATCAGGAAATACGTTCCCGCAACAAAAGACTACTTCAGGTCGGTTTACACTACACGTATTTCGCCTAAAACTGTCGCATGCTGCCACCTTACAGCGTGAGTTACGCTGTGTAAATCAAGAAACTTGCGAGTTATCTTCTAGATTTTAGACGGTACAACTCACACTACAACTCAAGTTATAAGCCGGTTGCATGCGACAGTTTTAGGCAAAAGTTGTGTGGTGTAAATCGGCCTCTTGGAAGTGAATTTGTTGTACAAGAATTCTACTTCTCGGGAAGCAAAACTTGTTTAACTAGGCTAATCTTCTAGGACTAACTAGGCTGGTCTTCTAAGACTATTTTAGTGTATATATTTTTTTGTCATTGGTAATAAATCTTCTCTTCTTCTAGCAAATTCCAGATGTTTTCCAACAATTGTCTCATTGCCCAAGGCGTCCCAGGCCAGTGAGAAGATAATAACGTCATTTCTTCCGAAAGTGGACCGGGGCGAGAGATACTTAATTATGACGTCGTCACTAATTAAATCATTTCCAATTGTTTGCTGGAACAATTGAAAAGTCGTGCGAGGTATTGCCCCGATCGTATTCATTGCGTTATTGATGATAAATATACATGTATTGATTGCAGAGAAAGTGTTTCCAGAACGGGCCATTGCTGTTTAAACGCCTGAGATACATCGTGCATGCGTGTGCAGCCAAGATTACTGCCAGTTCCAAGGTAAGATTTTAGATACCTGTATGAACGATACCATCATTAATTAACTGCTAATTAATGGTTTCGCATGCATGCGGGGAATGACAGAATATTGCCCGAATCACAAATCTCGCAACTGCAGGGACAAATGAGTTCGACACGCAGAGGTATTTAGCAAAAATGTACTTATTATTCCGTTATAGAATATTTATTGCCACTTCGTCAACTAGTTTATGTTACAAATTAAGGATAAACTCAGCGAAATAAAATAAGGATCTCTGCAATGTTCGTTGAGTTCAGATCTTGAACTCGATCAATTGGGATGATCTAGCCAGAGAAAACACGTTCTCAGCAATTTGATGTCTTAATGTATAAAACAATTAACAAATTTAAAGGTGCCCGACAATCTTTCAAGCAAATTTACATCAATGCAACTAATGTGATATACAGCTACAATATGTGTCACTCTGATTCAAAGCTTTTTGTCCCAAGACCTTTGACGTGCCTACTTTGGGGGTCAAGGTCGCATAATGTCGCCTAATTTCGCCTAATTTCGCCCATGTGCACCCAATGTTTGAACTTTGCCTAACAGTCTATTCGCTTAATGTCGCCTAATGTCGCCCAGTTTCGCCCAGCGACGCATACTACTTTTCTTTGAAAATTACCAATGTCGCATAATGTCGCGCAATGTTGCACATAATAACGGCGACCTTGGCCCCCGAAGTAGGCCTTTTGATTGGGTCTCTTAAGAAAAGTTTTACTTGCAAAGGAACAGTCCTGTGGAATAGCCTACCTGTCGAAGCTGAATAAATGCTACATATTGTAATTGTAATTTGTAATTTGTAATTGTAATAGTATATATACTATGAACCAACGCTTAGCTTAATTAGAATTAAGTTAATATATTAACTTAACTCTAATTAAGCTAAGCGTTGGTTCATCCCGGGGTAGGCCTGTTAACAGTTATACATACTTCAATTAAGATATCAAACTGGAAAAAAGTAACCTCGAGTCAAACCCTTTACTTTTTGTAACTGTAAGTTGGATATAAAGAGGCCAATTTTACTGAAGTTGATAACGGTCTAACTGAATTCAATCAATATAAAGATTCAAATATATATTTAAATAAATCGATAAAAGATAAGAAAAATACATATAATTATTTTCAATTGTTTTGCCATTGGAGAAAAATCAGAAGAGATCAAACTCGGCTGACGAAGTTCAATCTGGTTTGAGCTCTTCTTATTTTTATCCAAGATTTTTTCAGCATCCAGATAATTGACAGCACTCGTCATTGCACGCGTTCGAGATCTTCCGACAGAAAAGCCGGAAAGGCAGCAAGTGAATGATGGAACACTTGAGCCCAGTACTTCAAGACCGGCCTAATGGAGATACAATAAAAAATATGATGTCTTTATACCTGGCACGCCCTAACAAAACAACAAGGTAAACACGATCATTGGCATTCACAAGGTTGTTAACGTCATCATTCCACTCAAGAATTACTGGAGATCGTGACTCCCAATATTTTGGCATTTTCAACAGTGCTGACAAGGTTTCACTTGACGATAAAAGAGTCAAAGACTTTCTTAGAAATTTTGAAATCAATTTTCATCTCCTTGCATCTACCCCGTTTTTTCGGGTTTGAGTTGTAGCTTGTTGATTCTTGTTTCTTACCATTCCTTTTTGTATGACCACGGATATTGTTGCGTCACTATCAACGTATTTCCACGTGGTTACGTCGGAAATTCGATGACCATTTATCATCAACAAAAAAAAGGCGTGGTCCAAGTGTCGTTCCTTGAGGGACTCTGAAACAAACTTATCCCATTCAGAGTAACAATCGTCAGATAACTCGATCGAAAACTGAGAAATTCAACAATCGACCCCAAACTCGTACTCAGAATTGGTAACGTAGAGATTTTTTCAACCCCTGTAACTGGACGTCCGATAAGGTCGAACCCTCTTATAGTCAAACGACAGTGCCATCACTGTATTAAGGCAGTCCCGTGTTTTTTTCCCCCATGGCAATAAAGACATAGCCTGGCTGTACATCTACTGGCATGTAAAGAAAAACACGTGAAAAGCTACGCCCGTGAACAACAGAAAGAATCCTCGGACATTGAACCACAGTAAGAATGCTCGGACATTGAACCACAGAAAGAATCCTGGGACATTGAACAACAGTAAGAATGCTCCTGCATTGAACCACAGCAAGAATGGTCGGACATTGAACCACAACAAGAATGATCGGACATTAACTTGTTAAACCACTGCAAAAAATCATGCAAAAAAGCTTCGGATAGTGAACCACGGTAAGAATGCTCGGAAATGAACCACAGCAGTCTAATACTTTTGAAGTGGCTGAAAAAGTTCACGCCAGTTACTGAGAGTTCATGATCAAATGCAAGATTTCAGATACCTGCACGAACGCGATGCCGTGACTAATTAACTTGTAGCCAAGCAGCGTCTCAGAAAATAACGCCGTTGATGGAGTGAATATTTATTTTATTTATTTATTTATTTATTTATTACTACGTCACCCGAATTACATTTAAGAATTATAAAATAGGAAATATTTTCAATAGTAGGGCTAGGAAGTAGGAACATTCTAGACTCTTAATTAGTATAAACTCTTTGTCAAACTAAATTAATATAATAATACGATACCAGTTAAAATTAAATTGTTTTCTGAGAAAATAAAGTTTAAATAAACAATAAGGAAATGTAAGTTATGTGTTACTTAATACACGACCAGGAGAGCTTTATCACATATAAAACCAGTGGTAAAACGGTTTTCTTTTCTCATGAGTTTTTGAAGCTACAATAATTTGACTTTGCTTTAGATGGCAAGAATTTTATTTTTTGAATCTGAATGAAATTAGTTGTTTTGAAAATGGGAATGATCTAATTTGTTTATATTGCGTAGCAAGATTACTCCTGTTCATATTCGAAATTTAGCTATGTCTATACTTTTGAAATTGGAAATAACAATCCTCCACGTTTATTTCCGCGTTTTACTTGCGTGATAACAATATTTCTTCGACTACAATGAATATTTCAACTTTGTAACAGAAAAACAGAACAAATTACTGTAATTCACAACAGACTACAGTGGCCGACCATTAATAAGGTACGAAATATACGATATACTACTCCAAAGTACAAAGTACAAAGTACTCTCTCAAGTACAATAACGAAGTAAATGTACTTCGTTATTGTACTTGAATGAGTACTATTTTTGAGAAGTCAGCAACTTTTTCAGGACTAATTTTACTTGGAACGAAGTGGTTTTAAGAAGTAACGTTTTACTTCGCTATTTTCATTTTGTGGCAAAGTTTTTCGTTACTTTCTAACTTTCGTTTAATTTTACGTGATTTATTCCTGATTTATTTTAGTTTTGGGATAAGTAATAGGACCTCTACTATATACATGCGTCCGAGGTCTCTCGTTTGTGCATGGCGTACTTATAAGCATTATTTATTTAATGGTGATTTCTTATATTTTCAACGGGGTCTGTAAAGTAGATCATGCCGTATAGTATTGTGCATTAGGTGCACGCATATATAATGCGTGTGCTGTTTTGTGTCTTTCGTATATTAAAGAGGCTCTAGTAAAACCCCTTCTAAAAAAACCAGGACTAGCTGCTTTGTTCAATCATCTGCGTCCGATCAGTAACTTGCAGTTTATCTCTAAACTAGTTGAGCGAGCAGTTTATGATCAGATCTATGACCATTTGATGTTGCATGATTTATTCCCGGAGTATCAGTCCGCATACAGGCAAGGATATAGTACTGAGACCGCCCTTCTGAAGGTCCAAAACGACATACTTTTGAATATGGATTGTCAGCAGGTTACCCTTCTTGTTCTTCTGGACCTTAGTGCAGCGTTCGATACTGTCGATCACAGCATTTTATTGCACCGATTGGAAACATCTTTTGGGATTACAGGAACTGTGCGAAAGTGGTTTGAATCCTACTTATCTGGACGATGTCAGCGAATAGCATTTAAAGATGGAATCTCTGACATTTTTCCATTAACGTGTGGCGTACCTCACGGCTCATGTTTGGGACCGCTGCTTTTTACCATGTATGCAAGTAAACTATTTGATGTTATTAAAGAACATTTACCAACTGCGCATGCATATGCTGATGGCACGCAGCTTTATTTGTCGGTTAAACCAGGTAACGGTGCGAGTGAGGAAGAGAGTATCGCAGCGATGGAGACATGCATTAAGGCAGTACGTACGTGGATGACTAAGGACAAATTGAAACTGAATGATAGTAAGACTGAGTTTTTGATTATCGGTACAAGGCAACAATTAAAAAAAGTGAACATTGTCTCGCTTCCTGTAGGCGATGTCAACATTACACCGGTAGCATCTGCTAGGAACTTGGGGACTGTGTTTGATAGCAATCTGTGTTTGGTACCCCCATATCAACAATACATGTAGACAAGCATTTTTCCACCTGCATAATATTCGCAGAATTAGAAAATATCTCTCCGTTGACGCAACTAAAATCTTAGTCCATGCCTTTATCATGGGAAGAGTGGATTATTGTAACAGCCTTCTCTATGGTCTTCCAGCAAAGTCTGTAAATAAGTTACAACGTGTACAGAATGCGGCAGCCCGGCTGGTTTCCGGTGCTTCTCGTTTCAATCACATTACTCCAGTTTTATATGAGCTCCATTGGCTGCCTGTCAAGGAGAGAATAATCTTTAAGATATCTGTATTGACTTTTAAAGCAATACATGGATTAGCGCCATCATACATTAGTGAAATGGTAACAGTTATGAGACCAAGTAGCTATCAGCTGCTGCGCAGAAATAAGGAACTATTGATAGAGCTAGCTAATAACAGAAATACGAAGAAAACTTTAGGTGATAGAGCTTTTAGTTTTGCAGCTCCTACAGTTTTTAATGCCTTGCCGCATTTTATCAGACGAGATAGTAATTTTAATAGCTTTAAGTCTTCATTGAAAACATATCTTTTTCAAATTGCATATTGTAACAAAAACATACCTACAGAAACCCATCAACCAATAGTTATATGAAAATAGATGCCGCCAAAATCTCACTATCCAGGTAAACTGAGAGCAGAAGAAAACTAGTTGTAGACTTTTGGACTCCTGAAAAAAATTTTTTTAGCTCCTTTAATCGTGTTATCAGGTTTTGTGGCCCGTAAGGTAACATCTTGAAATCAGTTCCTGATGCTTCCATCATGAATTTCACATGTGCATGTTGACCTACTGAACTAATTGGCAATGGTGCCACCTAAATTACTTTCATTTTTTGCTCGAGTAAAAGTGGAAGTAATTAACAATAAAACGACTTGAGTAAGAGTAAAAAGTACGGAAGGCAAAACGTACTTAAGTAAAAAGTACAAAGTATCCTTAAAAATACTTGAAGTAAAAAGAAAAGTATACTATTGTCTGTAGCGTGTGTGTGGGGGGGGGGGCGAGACTTCTGCAATAGATTGATAATAATAATAATTTAATATTTATATCCAGGGACGCCGGAACGATAATAGGGCAAAGGGGGGCGGACGCACACCAAGGGCACGTTGCCAAAAAAATTTCGGTCAGTGTACCATTTTAGGGGTCAAAAATTTTTTCCGGACATACAAAAATTTTCCGTGAAGCCAAAAATTTTTCCGGATATCTTAAATTTTCGCCATTTCTTCAAAATATTTTTCTAAATTCCAAAAATTTCCCAAAATTTTTATAAATATAAACTATAAATTACCTGAATCTCGTGATTTTCCTACAAAAAGCATCGTTGGAAATGTGATTTATCACGTATTATTTTACAACTAAAAGGGCACTTCTGCCCCCCCTGCCCCCCTAGTAAAAGGCAAGGGGGGCAGCCGCCCCCCCCCCTGCCCCCCCAGTTCCGGCGTCCCTGTTTATATCGCGCAAATTTACATGAGAATAATTATGATCAAATGCGCGTAACAAAGATGTAGTAATAGTAATAATATTTACATATGCTAAGATAAGCGGATAAATCTATGTCATGGAATATATTCCAACGCAAATTTAGATACATTTTATCTTATCTTAGGCCGACGTTACACTCCACAGTCACGTTTGCTTAGAACTATCGCATGGAATCTCCTTACATTTGCATAAGTTGCACTACCTAATTCAAGCCCACAACTCGCGTACTTTTTCGGAGTAGTTGAGGTGTCACTTGTGTGCTTGCATGATGTACACAGTACGTTAGTACAATTGTATAGCTCAAGTTGCTGCAAGCAGTTTCAATGCGACAGTTTTAGGCAAAAGTTGTTTAGTGTAAATCGGCCGTTAGAGAATGAATCTGTCGTACAAGATTTGTACTTCTTTGGAGGAAAAATTTGTTTGCGTAAACATCTAGAAAAACACAAATGTTTTCGCAACAATTTTCGTTATCCAGGGATTATTCTAAGGTGCAGTGATAACCAATTTGTGCAGTGATAAATTAGATTATGTGCAGTGATAAAATGCGATATTGTGCAGTACCAGAAATTGGCGACAAAATGACTACTGCTTGTATACTATTAAATTTGCATATAATCCACATGTGACACATGAAATGACTTTCAGTTTTTACTGGGAATGTACAGGGTGAAAATATTTAACTCTAAATTATTGCAATCGGAGAGCTCGGCTACTGTTTGCCGACCTCTTAATCAATAAAGCATTCATGCATGCATTTACTAATGTTTCAGTGACATATTTATTCCGATCGGGTATCTCTCCTAGCAGCCAAGTCGTGTTCAAGAATACGTCATCTTCGCAAGGTTAAGCTGCTGCCGAGTGATTTTGTTTTGTGATTTGTGACACTGTTTTTTGACAACAGTTTATAGATTAATCTATTTCATGCATACAGGGTGTGAATGACTAGATCTTGAGCAATATTGCTTGGTGTTTTGCATGCAATTCAAAAAAATATGTGAAAATGTGTATATTTTTGCATGAAATAGAATATGCAGAATACAGATTTGGGCTCCATTAGCGGTCATTTTGACTCATTTGCCTGCATATAATTAGTGACATGGATGGGGTAAACTTTAAAGTTGTAGAACCAGAGTACATGCATGCAGGGCAATCAGAACGTTTCCTAAAATTTCGCTAAATATATATAAATTTTATTATTTTCGCGCTTTTGTGCAGTGTTAAAATTTTCTTAGAATAATCCCTGCCGCTCAAGGCGTTCCAAGCCAGTGAGAAAATAATGACGTAATTTCTTCAAAGTGGACCGGGCCGAGAGATACTTAATTACGGCGTCATCACCTCAGTGCTCGTCACTAATTAAATTATTTATAATTGTTCGCTGAAACAATGAAGTCGTGCAGGATTTTGCTTCTCCTGTTCATTCGTTTTTTATGATAAATATATGTGTTGTGGAGAAAATGTGCCGCAGAAAGGGCCATCACTGTTGTCTGTTGAAAATTCTGAGAGTACCATATGCGTATGGAGCCTATGTTAGATTGGCCAGAACTGCCAGTTCGAAGGTAAGATTTCAGATATCTGCATGAACGATGGCGTGGCGAATTAACTGCTAAAATGGATTGTGTATTTGCGGAATGTTGACCCGAACGCAAATCACAAATCTTGCAACTACCGGACGAGGATAATGGCAAAAATGCATTTATTATTCCTTTATACATTATATATTGCAACTTCGCCAACTAGTTTATAGTAAAAATTAAGGATAAATTCAGCGAGTGAAATTAGGATCTCTCCATACTGTGCCATTGGAAATCAACAAACTGGCCTTACTCTAAGCTTGTTCACCTGAAAAATAAGAAAGTTCAAACCAGGCTAACGATTTTTCTTAGGCGGAGTTTTGAATGTTGCTTATCGTCCCTATTTGTGCGACCTCGGAAATTGTTGGGTCATCTATATATTACCACGTGCTTACGTCGGAAATTCGAAGATTATTTATGGTTTAAAACATAGATAATTTTCCTACCTTAAATGAGCAACTCCCCAAGGAACCATTAATCTTCAGAACCAAACCAAAGCTTGTTGTTGTTGTTGTTGTTGTTGTTGTTGTTGTTGTTGTTGTTGTTGTTGTTGTTGTTGTTGTTGTTGTTGTTGTTGTTGTTGTTGTTGTTGTTGTTGTTGTTGTTGTTGTTGTTGTTGTTCTTCTTCTTCTTCTTCTTCTTCTTCTTCTTCTTGATTGCTCTGGCATTGAACCAAAGCAAAAATGCTCGGGCATTGAACCACAACAATAATGCTCGGACATTGAACCACAGCAAGAATGCTCGGACATTGAACCACAGCAAGAATGCTCGGATAATGAATCACAGTAAGAATGCTCGGACAATGAACCGCAGCAAGGATTCTCGGACATTGAACCGCAGCAAGGATGCTCGGACAATGAACAGTAAGAATGTTCGGACATTGAACCACAGCAAGAATGTAAATGTTCGGACATTGAGACAGGCAGCTATAATTATCGGACATTAAACAACAGCCAGCAAGAATGCTCGTTACGATCTGAATTCAAGTAATATAGAGATTATATTAATATTTAAATAAATTGATTAAAGATAACAAAAATACATACAATTTTTTCAATTGTTTTGCCTTTGGAGAAAAATAAGAAGAGCTCAATTAAACCAGACTGACGAAGTTCTCTTCTCGGTGTTGCTTATAAGTCCTTCTTGTTTTTCTGGAAAGGCAATCAATTGAAAAAATTATTATGTAGTTTATCTCCAATCTATTTGAAATATTAATCTTTATATTTATTCAATGATCAACTTTATAGTTAGTAGTTGTTGATCAACACTTTTAGCCTGTTACTATCGACATAACTTTTCTACTAGACAATTAATTTTGTATCTTTTTGTGAGATAGACTGCTAGATTTTTTATTAAGAAAATGACGGCATTGCAAACCAATCTTCGGCATAAATATCCATTGATATTGATATTGAACCACCGCAACGATGCTCATACATTGAACCATACCAACATTACCTTCGAACTGGCACTTTTCGCCACATATTTGGCGAAAATTGACAGTTCAAAGGTAAGATTCCAGTTATCTGCATGAACGATGCCGTAGCTGACTGATAAGTAATGGATTTGGCATGCGGAATGTTCACCCGAATTACAAATCTTTCAACTGGGAAAATTGAATACGACACGCAGAGGTATTTAGCAAAAATGTACTTAAGCTTACTATTTCGTTATAGACTATTTTTATTGCAACTTGATCGACTAGTTTATTTTACAAATTGAGAATAAACTCCGCGAAATAGAACTGTGATCTTTGCAACAGTGATTAGGCAAATACTGCAGCTTATTGGAACCTACCAAACTGGCTTTATTCCAAGCTTGGTCGATCCCAGGGGTGGCCCTGTTTGTATACTTCAGAATAGCAGTGATGGCCATAAGACGTATACAAGGACCTACTGAAACCTAACCTGGGAATTCTGAATTGAACCTCATTATCTGCGAGATTGCGAAGATATTAGGAATGATATAGAAGAGAAAGGAGTGGAGCCTTCGAGAAGACAAGAATGGAGAAAAGAGATAAGACAAGGCATGAAACACAGCAGCTTCCGATTAATTGTTAGCGCCTTGGCAAGTGTGTTTTCTGAAGCCAATTCGGTTCTGGAATTAATTGACTTCAAATTCTACTTTCTCAAGATGGTAACAATTTAAGTATATCGGAGCATCATTCTGGATAGAGAACAACAACGACCATTGACATTGGTCTAGATGTTAAATTTGTACCGAGGCGAACACATCATGCAGTAATAGATCATGAGTTGTACTCCGATCCAATGAATGGATTCTCCTGATGATAGGTTATAACTATTGTTTATCTTCCATCTCGGCGAATGATTTACACGAGATAGAGGTTATATATAAACGATCATGAACGGCATGTTTTGTTCCTTGAACAATTTGCGTGCTTGTATTTCTTCTGAATAGTTTGTTTTGTGTTCACATGAAGACAAAAGGAAGAGCCGTTTTACCTGAATGCAGTTTGTAGATGTGACGCATATATCATCATTACCTTACTGACAATCTACAAGAATTAAAATATACTAAAATCGTCCTATTTTATTAATATCAGCGCAAATCAGGACACATTGCAGTTTAAACATTGTTGCCTCGACATATTGTTCAAAAGTGGGCAAATCAGGACACAATTGTTCCGACAACTGAATTTGTTGTACAAGATTGCCACTTCTTGTGAAGTTTGTTCGCGTGAACATTCGAGGAATTTCCAAGTGGTTTCGCAAAGTTTTTTTTCCAATTCACCCGTGGCATCTCAATTTAAAATGATGCAATTTCTTCCTGGACGAGAGATAACTTGATTACGACGTCGTCACTAATTAAATCGTTTCCAATTGTTCGCTGTAACAATAAAGTTGTGCGGGGTTTTACTTCTCTTGTTTTTCGCATTTTTGATGATTGATTTACACCACACCAATTTTGCCTAAAACTGTCGCATAAATGTAATCTGCTTACAACTTAAGTTGTACTGTCTAAGTCAACATACTACTCCCGCACGTTTTCGTAGGTGAGTGATGTACTTGATTTACACAGTACATGCAACTCAAGTTTTACGGTATGCGACAATTAAGCGTCGTCATCTCAGTGATCGTCATTAATTAAGTCATTTTCAATTGTTCGCTGGAATAATCAAGTCGTGCAGGAATTTTCTCCTCCTGTTCATAGCGTTTTTGATGATAAATACATGCAATACGTGTCATCAAAAACGCTATGATTGACACACAAAACTGAAACTCCGGAGGGTACTTAGAGCGTGTCCAGCACTATACGTGCACTCACCGTTTCAACAGTGGCTGCCCACGCACAAGATACACTCAGTGCTCAAGGTTACTCAAAGGTAATTGGATTGGATTGCGCACGTGGAATATGATTGCCTGAATCACAAATCTTGGAACTGGGTGAGTATGTACATTCCACAAGTTAAGGTATTTAGCAAAAATGTACTTATAATATAAACCATTTATTGCAACTTCAGCAGCTAGTTAATGTTACAAATTAAGGGTAAACTCCGCGAAATAAAATTAGGATCTATGAAACAGAGACATGTATATATTATCAAATTATTGCAGCCTAAGACTTGCGCGTTATTAAAACTCGCGCGCCAAACTAGCCCTACTCTATGCTTTTTCGATCCCACGGGGTAGGTTTACTAATAAAATCAATGCACATATACCTGTAGTATTGCGACGTTGTTCAAGTGTATGCATTCCAGCTTTCAACAATAACTTTTCGTAATCTTTTTCAGAATAGATTATTCTCAATGCCCTTCTTTGGACTTTCTCAATACTGCTGCTCTGAGCTTTAGTAAGGCCCCCATGTCAGACTTGCGCTATATTCAAGTATCGGCCTGATGGCAGAAATAGCCTATATTATGAGATAAAGCGCTCCTGCCTGTGTTTTAAGTACTGTTTCATAAATCAGGTTTAAAGCCACTGCTCGTAACATATTATGGTTGACATGAAGTAATACATAACTTACTATATCCAACAGTTTTTAAATTAATGCGTTTTTCAAATTACAATAATTTCAAATTAATTGTTATATTTTCCACGTTTTACTGAATGGCATCGTAACAATATTCCTTCGCCTACAATAAATATTTCAAATACATGTGTGGCAAATTATCACATGCAGTTATTTTAAGTTGACATGTTTTAAATTTTGCTGAAGGAGAGTCGCGGAATAATAGTTCAGTTTATGACCATGTGAACTTTCTGATGGAAACATCAGGAAGTAATTTTAAAATGTTATATTAGGGGACCCAATAACTCGATTAAAGGGGCTCAAATTTTTGTTACAGGAGCGCAAAGTGTACAACTATAGTTTACTTTTCCGCTATAGTCTAACTGCATGGATGGTGAGACATTGGGGGCATCTCATTGGTTGATGGGTTTCTGTAGGTATGTTTAGTTTTTGTACCGGGAATATTCAAACGCAGATTTGGATACATTTTATTTTAGACCTAGCCAGAAGCAGTTGCAAAAAAAGTAACGGTATAAGTAAACTTTAGGGCCTCTGGCAGGAATCGAACTCGCAGACATGCGATTACGGTACCTAAAATTCTATACAAATTGTGTTTGAAAATTTCAATAATTTCTTAAAAGTTGACCGGGGCGAGAGATACTTGATAACGACGTCATCACCTCAGTGCTCGTCACAAAATAAATCATTTCTAATCGATCGTTCGCTGGAACAATGAAGTCATGCAGTATTTTGCTCCACCTTTTCATTGCGTTTTTGATGATAAATATATGTGTTGCAGAGAAAAAATGTGCGCAGAACCGGCCATCGTTGTAGAAACTCCTGAGGTTACCTTATGCGTCTGCAGCCAAGGTTATTTTGGCGAAAACTTGGCAGTGTCTCCAAAGTAACCTTGGCTGCACACGCATATATATGTATGAATCGAAGGTTAGATTTCAGATATCTGCCAGAAGCATATGCTGGGGCTAATTGACTGCTAAATAATGCATTGAATCGCGCCTGCGGAATGTTGACCTGAATCACAAATCGTTCAACTGGATAAGTACTACATTTAATTGTTTCACATGGCTGTAGTTTTGCTTTTGGAGAAAAATAATTTATTATCTTCGTCAAAAGATGGAACTATTGTGAACGGTGGTGACGAAGAAAGGTAGGTGACGAAGAAATACGCACTTGCTGACTTGCCTGTATCAGTGTTAGTATATCATTTAATGAGATAGATTTATTTATTTATTAATATATTAACATTGCAAACCATTAAACAAACATTCTGAATCAGTAGTCATTGATGTTGAACCACACCAAGGATGGTGGCACATTGAAACACCAACCTTATTTTTGAACTGGCACTTCGCGCCATTTAACTAGCCTACTTTGGCGAAAACTGACAGATCAAAGGTAAGATTCCAGATATTGAATTTGTAGCGAAGTGGACGCATTCGACATGTTCTGCATGCAGTGATGCATCATGAGTAACAGTGTGAAAGTATGACAGCAAGAATGCTCGGACATTAAACTACAGTAAGAATGCTCGGACATTGAACCACAGTAAGAATGCCCGGACATTGAATCACAGAACGAATGCTCGGCGATTCAATCACGGCAGCGTGAACGCTCAGACGTTGAACGACAGAAGGACGAGCAACTGGCTTATATTGTGTTTAAACGGCTACAAACAGCCAGGGACCAATTCTTAACAACCAGCTGTCTAAAAATGAAAAATCTTAACAGCTTAGAAGAAGTCCATGTCAGACTGTGTTTTGTTAGTTATATATTATTTAACTTTGTTTCATCTTTTCAGTCATGCTGATTAATTTGATATATTATGAATATACGTTTGAATTTCGAATTCATATCAAAATAGGCGTCAAGGTAAACTTGGCTTCTCCGCTTGCAAGGCATTCTCAGGTTATTGCATCTGTACAGCAGTTATCCAGTTATCATGACATCATAATGTAACCAGTCACTGAAAAGCCCTGATAGGGAGTGTGCATGCTGTGTGATATCTGTAATCTGTAATCCGTAATCGTCTAGTTACTTGTTAGCTGTTGGCTGTTAACAAAACTGACTGTTCGCCGTTAGCTGTTAACTGTTTACTGTTAGCTGCGAACTTATAGCCAATTGGCGACTCAGAAAATTACGTCATTGTCTCATTAAGAATACGTCATTTATTTGGAATTAAACATGGCCGCCTTTAACGGAGTTAATATTTATTTTATTTATTTTTATATACTTATTTAAACTAATTCGCCCAAATTACATAACAATTACAAAATAGGAAATATTTACAATAGTAAGGCTAGGAACATTCTAGAAACCTATAAGGCTTATATAGGCCTATAGTTGCAAGTTAAAACTAAATTAATATAATAAGTTCTTTTGACTTTGTAGTATATTGCATGACGATAAAAGATACAATTATTTTTGTTTGTGGAAACACCACCTAAATTTATTACTGGAAAGCTTTCGAACCGTAAGACCGGATCTTCATTGACATTGGTGCTCAAAATATGTGACTTGTTCAATGGATAATTTCAGCCTTTGACTAATTTTTATCCAGACAAAAAGGACAAAGTCTAGAGTATCATCATATAGCTTTAAAGAACATATTTAAATTATGTTTGTGCACTGTTAATTTTAGGGTGTTAAAATAACACCAAAAAGTGGTGTTAAAAAATTAGGTAAAAAATAACACTACTTTTTGGTGCTATTTTAACACCACTAAAAAGTGTTAAAATAACACTAGATATGGTGCTAAAACAACACCCATTTTTAGTGTTAAATTAGCACTAGTTTTTGGGGTTAATTTAACACCTGTTTATACTGTTAAACTAACACCACTTTTAAGTGCTAAAGTGACACCAGTTTTAAGAGTTGATTTAACACCTATAGTGTGGCGTTAAAATAACACCTGATTTGGCAGTGCCAAAGCAACACCTCTCCCTATCTGGTGCTAAAATAACACCAGATTTAAGGTGTTGATTTAACACTTTCAACCAGGCACATTAAGACACACACAAAAGAGAAATATAGGTTCAAAATTGGTTATTATTATAAATTACTCGCTGACAAGAAATACCTTTAACATGCATGAATTTATATGAACTAAGTATTTATCATGATTAATTTCAGAGTCAAAGCTCACTTAAAAGTTGTTGTACAGAAATTTTGTTCTCGGCATCAGCAGGGCGGTTTAAGGTGACAGCTTCTAAATTCTAGAAATGCATAAACACTCGAAACACCTGGAGTGTATTCCATATTTAGAACATGGAATGTAGCAACAAGTATGTGGAATATTTTTACCAGCAAAACGCAAGTAAATTTGCCCCACGGCAGCAATGTACAATGGGTCCAAGGATGCAATGTCACCTGATGCCAAGATTCAAGGATAGCTATAGGTTGATTTCCTCACTTCTTCACCAATGGACAATGGGGTCGTCATCCTAAAAGTATTCATTTTCACATTAGTCTATACAGTATATATATATTTAGTAATTTTAAATGTTGTCAAGTTCTAATGCAAATGCTGTATTCTGATTGGCTTTACGCTACTCGTTATCTAATTGTCAATGAGATAGCTAGCTAGAGCGCAAACCATCTCTTTGTTGAGACAATAAGCATTGATCACATGCAATGATAGGATAAGAGATGTGCCATCTCACCTTAACACTACATGTAGCAATTTTAATTACTTCAAAAGGAGTATGCACAGTATATAACAGAGGGTAGCCATTGAGCAAGTGTCCCTTAACTATATAATTAATCACTGTTACAGTTCAATTCCATTTTGCCATTGAAAAATCATGTCAATACATTGCCATTTCAAGAATGAAAATTAAACTACTTCATTATAATGTTACCCGTGTCAAATGGGTCATTTGTCCAGGACGGATAAGAGATGTGCCATGATCTCACCTTAACACTACATGTAGCAATTAATATTTTTCAAAAGGAGTACAGTATCTAACAGGGAAGCCATCGAGCAAGTGTCACCTAGCTTAACTATATAATTAGTCACTGGTACAGACTGTACAGACTGTACAGTCCAATTGCATTTTGCCATTGAAAAATCATATCGATACATTGCCATTTTAAGAAAGAAAAATTACCCCCCATTATAGTGTTAATTAACTGTGTCAAATGGGTCATTTGTCCTGGATGGATAAGAGATGTGCTATCTCACCTTAACAAGTGCTACATGTGGCAATTATTCTACTTTAAAATGAGAATCTGTTGCAATAAGAACTTATTAGGTTTAGTGTATCTTTTGACATCATGGTTGAGAAAGAGAATTATGTTTGGGGATTTTATAATGTGAACATTATATCATAATCAATATTTTCACTCTTAAATATTAATACTCAGGACTCTCCCATTGATAGCCCAATGATAGGTAAAATTATCTCTGTCATTATACCGTAAACC